ATAATTTTCAAAAAAGTCAAATGCCCGGGGGGTTGCCCGGGGGGGGGGGCATGTTGAAGCTTCGATTTGACCGATACATAACTGAGTCTTGTATTTTCTAAAATAGTTTCCAAAGGGCTTTGTTGTGTCAAAGTTTGGGGGATTTCGATTTTTCCATCTTGCACACCTATCCGTGGTATTTACAGAAAGTCGCTCTTAAGACGAAAAGAAATGATGATTGAGATTCTTAGTTCTTCATCCTTGACTGTGAACTTATCCTGGCAGAGTTGCGTTGGATGATTGAGTGGCATATGGTCAAATCTCGTAGTTCATGTATTTTGTTATATACTAGAAGCTAAATAAATTTTGCCAAGAGATCATTCACTCTTGATATGCCTAAGTTCTTATCTTCGTGTGATTTAATTTAAACTTTACCGTAGTTTCTAAGAAATGAATATAGGCAAATGAAAGGGTAATTATTTTGTGTTTGGAATTCTCTTTTCATGACAGCAGTTATTACACTGCCTTCAGTTTGAGTCCTCATTCAATTGTGTTTTGTTTTGTTGCAAACAAAGAGGGAGAAATTATAAATATTTTATTCCAAAAACTACACTAACCACCGGAACAAGAGTATGGTTTAAAAAAGATTAGCTAAGGTCAGAAAATAAATGTTCAAGTTTGCGTGTTTTGACAAGGACTACATCCGGCTCAATATGCTTCAAAGGGAATTTATAAAATTAAAAACATGATGACAGTTCTATTTTTGCCTTTCCTTTGGCCACTGTGATCAGTTTTTGCAATACAGTTGCATCAAGAGACTATAAAGGGGACAGAGAGGCCATCCCCCATATACACCCTATTCCATAGGTAATTCGTCCCGAGTTATTTTTAGAATCGGGATAAAGTTACCTCGCGCGAGGCGTGGATGTTTCGTGGAGGTTTCGCATGACCAAACTCCGTGCAAAACATGTCGGGCGAGAGGCAATGAAAGCGTAAAAAGATCGAGAGCATTCCTGAATATTGAAGCGAAATGAGTCGGCGCTCACCGGGGAAAAAGGAATCGCTGGACTCTTTGACAACCCGTGAAATCAGTTTAACTCGAAGTTGTCGTAACCTCAGTGCTTTAATAAAATGAGAAATTTCGCCGGTCTATTGAAACCGGTCGTTTGTACAATTTAGGGAGTTTAAGATCCAACGACGCGGACGACAACTAGAACGTCAAAAAAACAATAGGTTTAATTAGCAAAACAACAACTTCGCACGTGCAACACACTTTTTTGTTCATTTCTTTCCCGTTTTTGCACGACTACGACGTGAAAATGCCTAATTTCGCGTTTTATGGAGGACGTAAATAAGCAACGACGAAATTTTATTTCTCTTTCTGAGCTTGAATATGGTCCCTTGAAATTCAGCTTTAGGAGGGTTCGCCTACAATTGACAAAGTAAGTGGGTAGGAATAATCGCTATAAAGACTGAAAAAAATAAACATCAAACCAGAAATTGCTCTCTTCAAACTGTAAATTATAAATGATCCTGAGAGAATATTCAGTGTGTTAAGGATTTCCCTGCTCTACTGTTAGCTCTATACAAGAGAGGAAGGGCGATTCTTTTTTAATTTCGGTTTCGCTGACACAGCTTTCGCAGAAATCTCGCTGTAGTCGTTTTCGTCGACAAAAGGAATAGCAAAATCGCTCTCCGCGTCTTCCCCCACTTTGTTCTGCGTCATTTCGTGGAGGACGCGTGGCTCTCAGCGTGGGTCATCCACGCGGAACACATTCGTGCTATGTGATTGGCTGTTGTCTAATCCCCCTTGAGATCTGTGGTGTTAAAAATAACTCGAGACGAATTACCTATGGAATAGGGTGTATATGGGGGATGGCCTCTCTGTCCCCTTTGAGTTGCATGTAATGTTTTACATTACTTTGTGTCTGTGTAAAAATGTAGTTTACTGTTAATGAAATCAAAGTAAACCCTCTCAACTTAAAAATTGCCTTGTACTAGTGGATATTGAAAACACCATAGGATGCCTTGGAAAAAAAATGTAAAATGATTATTAAGGTAATATTATTTGCAGTCAACAAGAACAGTTAGAAACTTGTGTTGAGGCTGGCAAAAATATTTTTCAGAACGTCCGCGTGGGAGGCTACCTTGGCCTAAGACCGTCTTTGCAATCAATGTCCAATATCCTCAACCTTTTCCCAGGGTTCTCTCTCTTCCTCCCTGGGAACGAGGTCATGGGATTCTCTGAGCCAAATTTGTGGTACACCCTGGTTGTTTACCATTTACATGGGCAAACCGGTCAGTTCCATTTACCGGAAAACGGCCGCGAAGGCCTGAACCTTGTATCAAAGATGGCTTTGAAGAAATGGAACAAGAATTTCCGTTTGCAATATTCCAGCCAGAAAAACAGGACCTTTTCAGATGTTCCGTTGCTCCCGGATATTTTTAGTTGGGTAGACCAAAAAAGTCGTGTTCTATTTACTTTCCAACCGGATTTCCCGGAAAATTGTTGTAAATGGTAAACAACCTCTGTCTTCTGTCACGTGCTTCTGTAACGTAGATAAACATTACTTCTCGTTCGTTATATTCTGCAACCTTTCGCCTTAGGCCAGTGAACTGAACTTCTTTGTTTTTTATGCCACTTTTATTTTGCGGTGAATTATAATTGGTTTTATTTTACCGTGGGTTAATATTGTTTTGCCGCGAACTGGTTGTATTTTGTCGTGAGTTATAAAATTTGTTTTGCCATGAACTTATATTGTTTTATGTCATTTTGCAGCGAAATTACATTGCGTTGGTCGTCAGTTGAAATGTGCTTTGCCGTCGCTCTTTATTTTACCGTTGCACTTGTCGGCTCAGCTATCCTTCCTCGTAAAGGCGTCGATTCAAGAATTTCATAATTTTTCATAATTTATGCGTAGCATTCTTTTTTATTGGGCACTTTCAGACCTGCCAAATCTCACGATTCCGCCGTAAATCTCAGTAGTGTTTTATCTTTTCTCTCACGGCAACACTCCTAATGTCACGGTTTTTGGGAAAAATTCATTCTGAAATGAAATGTGGCCTTGTTGAATGAAATGGAAATGTAAATGCAGGCGTTTAACAGCGTAGGAATGTCGCAAGTCAGTGTTCTCACGAGGACAGCGATGTACTGAATTTCAACACCAGACACGAACAACTGTGATTCAATGGGATTTAATCTGATGTCAAACACGTCAAACTGAAAATACAAACAAGAAAACCTTGTCTAAGCGACATGAAACGGAGCTAAGCTAAAGCAATAATTATTAGATAACAAAACAAGAAAAGACGAGCGCACAAAAAACCTAACAATAATCGATCAAATATTGAAACGAAAACAACAAGGGGAGAGAAAAATACGCTTACCGATTGTCCTCTCTGTACGCCTGAATAGATTCGCAAATGAACGCAGTTAATTAACTTCGCAGATAGATCTTTCGCATTAACTATATCAAGCAACAACGCACGAGGTACGGCATTTTTGATCTTGCGCGTGACTAATGTCTAACCAAAACTTAATCTTTAACTCAGCAACAGTTACAGGAAATTCAATGGGGAATGTTAGTGCCCTTTTAAACCTTGTTGAGACCTTGTCTAACATTTTGGCCATTATTAGTTGGCTTATCGGTAAGAAACGATCCCTTGCTATAAGTTTCGTCCATTTTTTAAGTGATGACCTCTTAGAGAAGAAAGCGGCATCTTCAGTTGTTACCACATGGACCACAAATAAAGCAAAGTCAGTATTCATAGCTCCCCCAATGGAAAAATAGAATCTTACTACTTTTTGTAGAATCTCCAGATTTTTTCCATGAGTTTCCAGATTTTCCTTTATCAGGAGTTGGCAGGTCTACACTTTACAGGCCACCGTATTATCTTTTTTACGTAGATTGCTTAGAAAAGTCGAGTCCTACAGATCAGCTCCAAAAGTATATTTTCCTGACTTGTCAAAAAGCGTGAACGAGAGAAATCAGTTGTCGACTCATGAGGGCGGAACTCATGAGACTCGTGCGATCACGACGAAGTCATCCACATATCCAATATTAAATACTTGAAAAATAATGTTTGCCACTGGGTTAGTTCCGCTTGTTACGTATACTACTGTTACTGTTTCGCTTCGGTCAGATGATCGCTTCGTTTAAAAGAACTTTCTCAGAGTAAGCTTCGTCAATCGTGCTTGGGTTTAGGTTTGTGGCCTCGCCCTGTTAAGCCATTATCGCATACATTATATAATTAAAACTTATAGTAAGCACAGGAGAGGTTTCCATAGAGAGGGAAACTTGTTAATTAGCCCTTTGGATTGGAATATACATTTATGTACAATTAGCTTGCCTTTAACAAAATCAAAAAAAAAGGTCGATGTCAGGTCTTCTGTTCGCATCTCTGAGCGAAAATGTGTCTCTTTCCCAGTAAAATAAAATAATTGAAAATTAGAGTTCTTTTCTCTTCTGGATAGTAACCATAAAGAATGCTTAATTCATCTACAAGGTAACAGTCTCCGCTTTGATGATTCCACCAGGAGATTATTTTTGCCCAGAAACTGTTAATTTCGGTACAATCGACTAGCATATGGGGAAGTGTTTCTAAAGAGTTACAATGAGCGCAAAGCGGGGAGTTTGAAATCTTCATCTTATATAATTTGCTGCCGTACGGTAAAATATTGTGGATTATTTTGTACTGGAACATACATAATTTAGCATCCTTGGTTAAGCGAAATGGCAAAGTGTAAATTGCTTTAAGCTTGTTAGAATCAAGACCTAGTCTGCATAGCCTATAGCTAGCCAAAGGTTCCTGGAATTTCCTTTCTATTAACCGTTTGCGAATACTTTTGCAGCTGTTTTCAGCTGTTCGTTTCAACTTCTGCTCACTGCAATTCGAGTCCGACCTGAGAGCTGCACGTTTCCATTTGTCTGGAATGGCCGTAATAACATTCAGTTCTATTATCATTATTTATAATCATAATTTACTGTTTCAGTTCTCAGAGAAAAGCCGATGGAACAAAAATGAGGTTTTTGTGGACTTGTCTTAGAAGGAGAAGGCCGGGTGCATTTAACATGTGGTCCTTTTTGTGTGGTATAGTGATTTCAAGCCTACCTTTCATGGGCTATTTCTTGTTGGGCCCTTATTCTACAAGCCCGTCTGTCCCTACTAACTTGTTTACCAGAAAACAAAGCCGACTAGATTTAGTGGCATCAGTATCGTCTGTCCCTGCTGAATTGTTTACCAGAAAACAAAGCCGACTGGATTTAGTGGCGGCATCAGTATCAAAAGATTTAACCTCGTTGCCAACATGCCCGTACAATCCAAGCTTCCTGATTCGTGGGACGATCGCAAGGTATTCTGGCTGGTGGCGTATCAAAGAATCACTAGTTTTTCCAAGAGACGACACAGACATGTTGAGTAGAGGCAGCCCCTGGCATTGGTTCCAGCCCAGTCCCCTTGCGGACAGGGAAAAAGTCAGTATGGTTTTGAATAAGCTGTTGACTTACTTTAAGTCAAGGTATGAAGTAGATTCTTTATTCTCATGAACGATAAGAGGGCAGCAATATGTGTTCCTGTTTTTTCTTAAGTTTCCGCTTTAAGATCCGTAAAAATCCATTTAACAAAACGCGAAACAGATCACCAAGGTTATTTTTCCAACAACCACTGCACTTTTCCATGCCACTTTTATCGTCAGCTGGGACCTTTATAGAAAGCTGTCAATCATGAGCAATACGCGCGAACTTAACTTCCTGTGCAATTTTACATTCTTTACTCAAATGGGAAATAAAAATAATCCTGAACTGTCCCCTTAACAGTTTTAAGGAAGCTCGGACCGGCGTCACTGACTGCAGCTGTCAGTCCTGTTGTCATCAACCTAAGCAACAGAGACCTTTCGATTTTAGGGACTTTAAGATCCAACGACGCGACGGCAACAAGAACGTCGCTTAAAAAGTGAATTTGCGTTAATTCAGTCTTTAGCGCAGTCATTCCTACCCACTTACTTTGTCAATTTGGGCGAACCCTCCTGGAATTGAATTCGTAGGGGCCATATCCAAGTTCGAAAAGGGGAATAAAATTTCGTCTTTGCTTGTTTATGTCCCCCATAAAACGCGAACGAAATTAAGCATTTTCACGTCGTAGTCGTGCAAAAATGGGCAAAGAAATGTACAAAAAAGCGTGACGCACGTGCAAAGTTGTTGTTTTGCTTATAAAAGCTATTGTTTTTTTGACGTTCTCGTTGCCGTCCGCGTCGTTGGATCTTAAAGTCCCTTTTAAGAGGACGAGCCAGATTTTCTAGACCCTGTTCGACTTGTCCTAGACACTTAGTAGTGCGCGCGAGTGAGCCAGTGTCATACGAGATGGCCGTCGTCAAACTAACAGCGACTAGTTTTAGCGAGTGCCGAGGTAACGAAAACGAATTATTAAATGTTAGTAGATTTATCATCGACCCTAAGAAAACTCAACCCGTTCAAAAAAATAAAATAAATAAATAACCGTGCTGACCTTTCTGCTGAAAAAAAGTACAATGACGTTTTCCGAAATGTCTTTTTTTAAGAATACGCTAAAAAAATTTAAGTTAAATCTCGCCTATGTAGTTGTCGAGTTCGCCCTCTAACAAAGGTCTCTAGTGATGATAGGTGCATAGCCTGCGTAGCAGACGTCGAAGCGGGTAGGGCCGGGTTATAGGGGAAAAAGGAAGGGGGATTGGGGAGAGAGGGTTTTGCGCTTTTCTCCCTCCTCCCTACCGGCTACCCCTCCCCTTTTTGTGCCTGTTAAGCAGGCTAATATGTGCGCTTATACCACACAACGTGGACTTTAACTCAACCGGCAGTTCCTCAATCTTGCTGGCGGATTTCGTCTCTCATTTCTTTCCTTTGTTTTCTTTTTTAGGAAGTATTACGTAAAAAAAGTGAACAAAGTGATACAAAAATCAGACCCCGGAAATGGCGATCGGTTTTTGTTGGATCTTGAACTTGGTTTAATGCATGACCCATTGAATCGATCAATTCGCTTTGCACAACACGTGTACCAGAGAAACGGAAGTGATATATTGTGCCATCCTGAAGGAATGAACTGGAACAGCAGCGCCACAGTGTATTTTATCCTCGCCGTCAAGGATCAAGGACTATGGGTACATCATTTCCTCAAACAGCTCACCATGGCGAGCTTATTAACCGGTGACACAAACTTTCACGTCGTAATCGCTGATTTTCAAAGTAAAGATATTAACATGAGCGAGGCGTTTAGCACATCGCTACTCCGAAGTAGGCATACTATCATTAATTTAACGGGAAAATTTTACAAGACTCTTGCCTTGAACAAAGCAGCCGAAGCGGTGCCTAATGCGCATGACATAATTTTCGTGTTTGACCTTCACATAGATGTGCCTGCAGACATCATGGACAGCGTTCGAAAGGTTATTCTATTCATAATACTCACTATCTGATCTGTCTTCTCATTCGTTAAAAGTCTTCAGTTAATTTTGGAAATCAGCGCAACCTAAAGATACGGAAAACGGGCAACAAAAAACATGCAATTTGCCTTCTGTAACATTTCTACAAAATGAAGATAGAGAGCGATGTGACGCGTTGTACCGGGTTGTTAACAGGTCTGAACAAGGGTGGTAAAACGTGCATCATCGCTTTTCAATCGTTTTGCGGCAATGTTGCAAAACAAGTTGCACGTTATTGTTTCCCGTTTTACCGAAGCTTGAAGATTTACGTAAGATTTATCTGCTAGCATGTGGCGGATTGACTAATCTGTAGGTTGTTTGAGCAATGCATGATGTGAATCTGTGTTCCGTGTGACCGTTAGTCTGCTACATAGCCGTTTTTAGTGTCGTCACGTAACGCTCCACCCCCAAAACACCGTACATTTTTTAAATAACAGAGCATAATATCTTCTTTAAACTGCCCTAACGACAACCAGTATCAAATTCCACCTTGTCATTACAACGCTTTATAAAACAGAGTAAAAAATACGAAACAGCAGGTATCGAACCCAGTCCCTTCGGCTCCAAAGGTCAAGCGTTTCTCCACGTACGAGGATGATAGAAAGGACCTTAAAAATTCATTCATTCATTCATTCGAAAAATTCATTCATTCACCGACGATAGCAGAGAGCTTTAAGCCAGTAAGCTCAAAAAAAATTGTTAGATTCCGTTTTTGTGATTTGCAGAATAATCAAGGTCGAGTAAGTGATATCATCCGAGACCTTCGGCTGATAATACTTACCTCGAACTTGATTATTCCGGATATCACAGAAACCTCATCCAATAATTGCTTGGAACTAGCTGACTTCTCTTTTCCTTTATTAGCCACAAAACTGGTGTAGTTTGCGTCACAGATGACGTACATATGTAATTTAACCTCAGTTAGTAACGTCTGCGAAGCAGCGCCGGTATCCATATTCTGGGAACTGGGCACCCAGCGGACTCAACGAATTACCGGAAGTGCGTCTCGAATTTCCTTTCAACCTGATTGGCAAATCGACAATCATGGCGCGTACTCAAATCCTGAAACACAGCTGGAGACCCAGCCTCGTACCCAGTCGCTCGCGATCACTTTTGAGGGATATTTGAGAAAGCTCTCGTTCGTTCCAGCATCCCCCGTTTGTCGCTTGTCTCCAGCTCTCGTGTGTTCCCCAATCCCCGCTTAGCCTTGGGAAAACCTGTGGAGGAGGCAGGCTGGAGACCCAGAACAAGGATTTTGGCGCTCTTTCGCAGACGGACTCAACCAAGGTTTAGTTTCGTCTTTGGCGAAGGCTAAACTGGTGCCAAGTGAAAAACTAAGATCACCATTCATACCTCAGAGAAAGGCGTCTGGAAAAAGATTGAAACAATGAAATCAAATAGTTGTAAATATTATCTCTCCTTCTCCTTAGAACACTATTGCAGGTCGTATGGTTTATTTCCCGGCAGTTGGCCGCCTAGATCAAGGAAGTAATTCTGTGGAACATCGAGGTTTCTGGCAAATGGATGGGTACGGACTAGTGGCGATGTATAAATCAGATTGGATAAGAGTAGGAGGTAAGACTAAAATAATTTATCCTTTGCCGAAACTAGGGTAAAGCATTTTCACACACCAGAATAGAGAGGCGAAGTGTGACGTCACGTTACCACGGTAGCAAAATTTGTGGGTCACAACAATAGGGAGTTTTTGCTACCACGCAACGTGACGTAACGGCTTCTCCTCTCTGTTAAGTTCAGTTAGGGCGAGAAGAGGCAATCGTCACGAGAGGGAAACTGGGCCCAATTAAATTTCGCAAAGACTTCTGGGACCGCTATAAGAAACAAGGGAAAAAACCGGCCCGTATCCAGTAACAATCTCAGAAATAACTGCAGTGTTAGTGATATGGGCATCCCCTTCTCATATAGAGAGAAGAAGTGTGACGTCATGTTACCATGGCAGCAACATTTTTGAATCACAACAATAGGAAGCTTAAGCAACGACGACGGAGATAGCAACGAGAACGGCCAAAAAGTAATAAGTTTAGATAACAAAACAACAACTTTGCACGTGCATCACGCTTTTTTGTACATTTCATAACCGTCGTTGCACGAATACGACGTGAAACTTCCTAATTTCACGCGCCCGCTTTGTAAAGTAGTTGAACACAGCGCATTTTTTTTTCTTTTTCTTAACCTAAATACGGTCCTCTTGGATTCAACCCCAGAAAATTTAGCTAACATTTGACAAATTGATGAAAACTAAATAAGACCGATGAAGTCTTAAACGGTGCGAATTCACTTTTTAAGTGACGTTTATCGGTTTGTTGTCATCCAGAAATTTTGTTACCTTGGCAACGTGACGTAACGACTTCTCTCTATTACTTTAGCGATCTGGGTTAAGGTTAGGGTTGGGTCGTACTGCGTCGCGAAATTCGATCAAATTTGGACAAAATGTTGAAAGCTGAAGATTTCTCTACCTCTAGGACCTCTTTTTGTCTCGCTTTTACGCTCAACTGAAAGTAACAATCACGAATTATGGAATATAGAAAGACATCGCGCCTGCTTTTTGGACTGATATAAGCCGCATCTGTTTTATTTTCGTTTCACACCTCGAACATTTTAATATTTTTTTACTATTTTTGTTTCCTTCTTGCTTTCACTGCGCACGTGTGTTCAACTAGGAATGAATACTAAAGACTACAAATACAAGTGGGGCGGAGAAGACTGGGATCTACTCGACCGCGTGTTAATGGCGTCACTTGAAGTAGAGCGAAACAAGTACCCAGGCCTCTATCATCACTACCACCCCCCAAAAAAGTGGAATTAGACAGGATTACGAACCAGGATGCACAGACAGTGATTATTAATGGGTTTTTAAGTTAGCAAGCATAAAAGCCTAGGGGCAGGACTCGGGGTTTGGGGTGGGTTTCTGCCGCACAAGAATCCAAATTCTGACTAAATCCTGTTCTTGAACTCTCTTATTCAGGAGAACGTTCGAAATGTGTGCATGTTACCCCGCTCTTTCGAATACAGATACCCCGTTTTAGTAGGACCCTGCACCCCCCCCCCCACTCCCGCTACCTGGAGGGAGGGGGCTGGCAAACTTTCGAAAGATGTACCTCTCCTTACAAAGCCTGCAAACGCAAACGTATTCCGGGTCTTCGCTTATCTCTACCTAACTTTTCGGGCGGAGGGAAGCAACGACCCGAAATACATCGATTAACCCCACCTCGTCCCCAGGGTTTTCCCCACCCATTTTTAAGGGAAAAGCCCTGGGGACGAGGTTGCAATTAACCTAATATATTAAACGTGGTGTCGCTGGGTGATTGGGTTATTTTGTGTGGGAAGAATTTGTTTTCCAGGCCCAATAATCTACTGTGATCAAGATCCAAAACCAAAATTACAGCGGTATGACTGAGGAAAAAAAACAACAGAACCGGCGGCAACTGTTTTTCTGCCTTCGATGAGCCCGCTGTTAGGGTACATTTTTGCTTAGTCTGCTTTACTGCATGCGTCTCTCTTCGTAATCAAGAATATTTATTCAGTTTATTCTATTTATTTTGGTGTTGGGCATTCTAACTTTATTCAGGGATATATAATACATAAATAAGTTTGTTTTTAGATCGGTTCGGAAATCAAAAGTTTCAAATATCTTTTGTTTAGAGTTCAAACGACGGTGTTTGCAAACTGTCAGAACAGCTGAACACACTTTTAGATTCTACTAGCAAACCTTTGCTGGTAGGTTAAGTATTTGACGAAAGATTTTTGCACCGACCTCTTTGGTGTTGGGATCAATCAAAAAATAGAAGGTGGACGCAAGGTTAAACATCATAAGTGTGGCTTCAGTCTTTCGCAATTAAAGGTTAAACTGAGGTTAAGAAACACCTCTTCAAGCTTATTGAAGAAACATAATAACATGTTCTTTAGATAGAAGTAATTACTTCCCTTAGTAGATGTATTCAGCTGTGGAATGGGAAAATGAGCAATTTCTGTAAACGAAGTTCGTTAATTTGAACCTGAAGTTAGTTCTTACTTTCGCTTCCAAACTTGAATCATAATCAGATTTCCTGATCTCATTAAAATTTTGTTGAGGCCATGCGACCTAACACCACTTTAGATCTTTGTTCTCGGTTGGGCTAAATTTCACTTACTTTTCCAATTTCAGAGTGGAATTTCTTTCGACAGAATCTTAGGAAAATTTGGTTTCTTTCAAACCATCGTTTTACCTTATTGTATAGGAATTTGGCTGTGGAGATATTTTCAGTTTTGCAAATTTTTTCCACACGCAGCTGAATTCAACTGATTGCGGTATCTTTTGTTCTATCAGTTCTAACACTCTAAACACCTATTATGCGCATAAGAATACTATTGACCTTTCTTAGAAGCTACTTAACTTAATAGTTTAGTATTAATGCAACCATTTCACTTAGAAAATCTTGGAACTTAGAAGAACGAAGAAGCTTGGTAATACACCGTCGCTCAATTCAACTTCCTGTGTACCTCGGATCTCTCAAAATCTGTAAGCTTTACACCGAAAATCACACTAGAAAAGGAAAAGAAAAAAATGGAAACAGCGAGGAGAAAGAAAGGAGGAGAAGAAAAATAGCATTAGCCGCACCCCTTTTTGTTCCGTTGAGTTCTTCGAAGATAGCATTTGAACGAGAAAAAACTGTTTGATGGGAGAGATCTATTTTGGCTGTAAAGTCACTTATAAAAATCCAGCTATATATATGTATTTTTCACCCATGCAGCTAACAGAAATCTGACAAAAAGGTTCTATTTTAAAAGTTAAGAATTAAGTAACGGTTTTCGTTTTTTTACATGTAAAGTCTTACGACAAAATTTGTCGTAATTTTAAAGCTAACAGCTCACTCTTTTACTTTGTTAGCCCCCTGTTACTTTGGTGTTCCTTGAGTGGAGCATGGTCTTCCTGTGCAATAGCCAACTGCGTTTAATATTTATCTTTTTTGAAAAGAAAAAACGTCTTTTTATCACCGAAAACTAGTTAGCAGTTATTCTTTTTCTGCAAATGTAATGAAGACATTTTGCGCATTTACGTTTGAACGTATAACGTCAATTACCATGGGTGTCCTGTGTTAAAAGCTCAAAATGATTAACGCTTAATTTTGACATCTTCCACCAAAAGAAATTTGGCGGGTTTTTATAAGGTAGGTTGATAGTCCACCCTTACTTAAATGCCGTTAAAAACAATTCTGTTGCAATTAGTTTGATGTTGAGTCTCTAAATTGAGTAACCTAGATTAACTGGACTATTAATTTTACTGAGTTTGTAACTTTGTCATTTCATATATTTTGTTTTGCTATTACGCCTGAAAGTATTTTGTTAAGTCTGTGCACATTTTATGAAGTTTGTAAGTTTTGACATGTAATAACTTTGCACTCACTTAAGCCTGCGCATGTTTTATAAAGTTTACATACACTTAATTAAGTTTTCGCACATTTTATTAACTTTGTATGCTCTTTATCAAGTTTGCATGTGTTTTGTTGAATTTGCATGTTTGATTCTTTATAAGTTTGCACGCGTATTATTAAGGATGCATGCCATTTATTGACTTTGCATTTGCTCTGTTATTAAAGTATGCATGCTCTTTATTAGTTTGTATGTGCTCTTTTAAGTTTTTATGCTCTCTAGGTTTAGTTTACACGCGTACTATATTAAGCATGCAAGTTATCTATAAAGTTTGCATGTTCTGTTGAGTTTTCTTGCTCTCAATTAAATTTGCACGCATATTATATTAAGTATGCATGCTATTATAAAGTTTGCATGTGCTCTGTTAAGTTTGCATGCTATTTATAAAGTTTGCATGTATTCTATTAAGTTTGCAAATAAAATTCTTTATAAGTTTGCACGGATATTAAGTATGCATGCTATTTATTAAGTATGCCTGTGTTCTGTTAAGTTTGCAAGTGCTCTGTTAAGTATACATGCTCTTAATAAGTTTGTTTGTGCTCTTTAAAGTTTTCATGCTCTCTATTTAGTTTACACGCGTACTTTATTAAGTATGCATGCTCTTTATATTTCTAGTATTAAGTATGCATGCTATTTATAAAGTTTCCATGTGTTCTGTTAAGTTTGCACGCTCTTTCTAAAGTTTGCGTGTGTTCTGTTATAGTTTTCATGCTCTCTACACTGTATCTATTAAGTTTGCGCGCGCATTGCATACAATACGCGTGCAAACTTAAAGTCTGTGCACATTTTATTAAGTTTGTAAGTTTTGACATGTAATAACTTTGCACTCACTTAAGCCTTGCACGCGTATTGTGTATGCATGCTATTTATAAAGTTTGCATGTGTTCTGTCAAGTCAGTTTCCTTCTCTCCATTAAGTTTGCTCGCATATTATATTAAAGGTGCCTTCCAGTCCTAGGCTACGAGCAGTCACTCTTTTTTCTTGGTCCGTCGAGCAAAACACCCGAAGCACTCAAATTACCACGCGTGCCGCCGCTCGCAGTATATTCCGGTCTGTACTGCGCAGGCTCAGCCAGAATTTTTTGTGAGGCTCACACTTTGGAATGTAAATATTCGGAATGTTGTTAACCTGAGATCAGGCCCAATTTTAGCGATTTTCATACATTCTCACTAACGGCTGCCCGCCGGAATGTTCTTACATAGCGAAACGAAAATTGAGCCTGATCTCATGCAGGTTAGAATGTTGTGATTAAAAGGAAGGAAATGGCGGACGGCCCTTCTCCCGGGGAAGAGCCGTCCATGCCCAAAAGCTTACGCTCCTCTTAAGAGAAAAAATAACCGTCGCAAAAGTACGTATTCCAAAAGAGATTCTACTAAACGTTATATTTACCGCGTTAGGCGGGGAATAAGCTTGTAAAGCAAAACAAAATCGCTGTGTGTCGTGAACAAGATGTTTTGCTAAAGTCTCGGAGTAAGGTTTTTTTGAACATACAAGAGGATCCTTGTGTTGACGTTTTTGAAGATAAGACAAAAACTTCATGGTGTTTAAACAGCGTGATTCATTGTGAAGTGATTTACTGGAGCTGACTTTTTATACGCTCGAAGCAATGTTTACCACTACAAAGAAAAACGAGGCGGCTTTGTTATTGTTTTGTGAACACGGGATTTCCTCGCAAGACAAATTTTTCCCTGAAATTTTGCCTAGAAATAGAAGTTAATTTATGGGGGAAAAATGAAAGCAAATATTTTCGAAAATTGTACGTGTTAGCAAGTTAACAAGGCAAAGAGCACTGCAGATAAACAACGCTCACCTCGATAGTAGCCTCCGGTTGACCGCATTTGCAAGCCAGCAACAAAAAACTTTCTCCTTCACTGAGGGTTGACAAGAGTGAATAAATCGCAACGCTTCTTCTCTAAAGGAGCAGTGATTTAAACCTTGGACGTTTTCTTTTAAACCATTGATGCTAAAGCTTACAAAAAGTTTTTTATTATGATTTGCCATGTTTGAAAATACTGCAAAGATCTAACTTTTGCCCATCTACCAGTTACGGTAAAATGTTCACGCATGAATCAGATGAATTCATCCGTCAATCTGTTTAATCGTTTTTTAATGGTTTCCTTTCTGATTTTGTTGAGATCACTTTGTGTGTATGTACTAAAAGAATAAATCTTTTCAATCTCGGTCAATGTTAGTGGCCATTATTTGCCACTATTCACCTCGATCTTAAAGAATATTGTTGAAAATATCAAATTTATATAAAAATAATAGCTCGTCAATCTGATCAGTTATTAGGCTATCAGTTATTATTTATGCAACTGTCCTTTGTTCTATCCGCTGTGATAAGCCACCACTTTCTGTGCGGAAAGTTTCTTACCGAAAATTGCACTCAGTCAACGTAGTCTCCTTGAATGAGGACTTGGCTACTTCTGAATTGTGCCAGAATCCATCTGATGATTTACAGGAACTTGTTTCATCTTATAACAATACCCTCATGGCTGCTTTGGACAAGCACGCACCGTTAATGACAAGAACAATTGTTCAGAGACCTCGTGTTCCATGGTTCAGTCAGGAGATCAGGGAGGCGAAGCGTCAGCGAAGGAAGGCTGAAAAGAGGTGGAGGAAATCTCGATTGGAGTCCGATCTTGCTGCTTTTAAAGCAAAACGTAATTTTACTACCCGTCTTATGAACAAGGCTCGGAGGGAGTTTTACAGTAACTTTATAGATGAAAATAGCGGTGATCAAAAGAAACTATTCCGTGCAAGTCAGCGCTTATTTAAGCGCACAATGGATGATGGTCTCCCACCTAATCTGGACAGTAAAACTTTCTCTAACGACTTGGGGAAATTCTTTGTTCAGAAGATAGATACTATCCGCACGCAGCTTGACACCGATCAGCAGACTGATTCATATCCAGAAGATGACACTTCGTCTGCTGATGAAACTGTGCCACCATTCCCTACTTTTACGATGCTATCAGTTCGAGATGTTAAACAGCTTATCCAGAACTCCGCCCTTAAATCCTGCCCTCTTGACCCTATGCCATCCACACTGGTTAGCAAATGTGAGGATCTCCTCCCAGTTCTCACAAAGATTGTTAACAACTCATTACAGTCTGGATGTTTTCCTGAAATTTGGAAAGAGGCTTTAGTTTTTCCACTGTTAAAGAAACCCGGTCTTGATGTCATCTTTAAGAACTTCCGTCCTGTGAGCAATTTGTCTTTTGTGTCTAAACTCATTGAAAGGGCTGCTTTTAATCAGATTCATGGTCACCTGGTTCGTAATAACTTATACCCAGTTGCGCAGTCTGCTTATAGAAGAAATCACAGCACTGAAACAGCACTTTTGAAAGTAATGAACGATATTCTGTTAAATATGAACAAGCAGCACGTTACTATCCTTGTATTGCTTGATCTCAGTGCTGCTTTCGATACCGTTGATCACAGCATTCTCCTTAACAGATTATCGTCAAAACTTGGTTTGAATGGCACTGTCCTTTCCTGGTTTCGATCTTATTTGTCTGGCCGTTCCCAGCGAGTGTCTGTTCGGGGAACTGTATCTGATAAGTTTGACCTGCGGTATGGTGTTCCTCAAGGCTCGTGTCTTGGCCCACTTCTCTTTACAGTTTATGCAAGCGCACTGTTTGATGTCGTGGAGAAGCACCTCCCAACTGTCCATTGTTACGCCGATGACTCTCAGTTATACATCT